CCTGCCAGGAATACGTCTTCAGCCTCGCTACTGGTTGAACCTGGGAATGGGGAGTGGCAGTAGCCTCACCTCTCTGGGGCTGCTGGATCCAGCATGGTATGTTTTCCCTAACAGAATTCTCTGTTTACCATCTGACAAAATATCTGGGAGGACTGCTGTTTCATCACCTGACAGGAGGAAAAGTCTTCCAAAGACAGGCTTGCTCCCTTCCCTTCTTCTGCATTGCAGTGCAGCAGCAGCACAAGGCCAGACCAGTGCCCTGAGTCTGAAACTGCTCAAAGGTGAGACTGTTCTCACTTAGGCTGTACAGATGCTACAGACACCAGCTTTGCTTTCACCACTACGATATGACATACTAATGACTCGTCACTTTTCAGGCTGCATAAGCATTCATTTCTTCCTGATTATGTTTAAATGGAGCTAGGAGATACTAGAGTCACAAATATGATGTGTATGTTTAATCATACCTCTTCACTTTCCAAATAATGTTTTCATGTTAGAGTACTATTAAGCTTTTATTAAAACGACAGCAACATCACTAGGAATCAGATAAGTGCACTTGGTTTTACAACATTTTGATTAGACTGGAGTTAGCACGTCTTCCTATTTACTTATGCTGATATGGAAAAAAGAAAACTTTAATTCTCTCCCAGAGAGATAGACATCATAGGTTTGTATTTTATGTTGTTACAGTGGCACATACTAAAACAAAACATTAACATTGCATTGAATTAAGGCACTAAATACAGTAAGCGTGAGAGAAGCAACAGAGAAGGGAGAACCAATCTCATGTTCTAGCTGTCTTCTATTGTCAAAGACCAGTCCAAAATTAACTGGATCTGAAACAACATGCCAACTGCAGGGCCTCATAGAGACACAGGATCAACTAGTAGTGACTGGACTGTGATTCTTTTATTCTCTTCCATTTGTGCTTTTAGCAACAGGTAAGAGAAGAGGATCAGGATTTGCTGGGGCTTTACAAGTGACATGAAAATAGGTAGCGGCTTGTCCAGCATGCTTTAGTGAGAAGAAAAGGCCTCATTATGAAACAAGTGATAAGACAGAAGTATTCACTGTTCCAGAGGCAGCTACTTTTGGAATATCACACCTCCCATAAGGGTAGCGTCAAACTATGTGACTGTGACTATTGACATGCCACACAAAAGGTTTGGGAGAAAGAGGGAGGACTAGACCAAGAAAAATAATACAAGCAGTATCCTAGAAAGAACACAAAGTGAAGACACCTCCAAAAGCTAATACAATTGTAGCACACACAGCCCTGTCCTCCACACTTAATATTGGGTAGAATGCTGAAAACTATCCCCATCTGGACTGATATGAAGTGGGGTCACTGAAAAGGGAATAAGGAAATTAAGGACTAGATACCTTTGAAAAAATGAAGAAAAATCAGAGCACCAGATATTTTGACACCAACTATAAAACTATCACAACAACTTTAATTTTCTTTAACGAGAACTATGTATTTCAAGAAACAGTTTACAGGAGAGGGAACAAAGCACTACTCTTCCTTAGGAAATCCTTTTTAAAAACCCAGATTATATGTATGCAAAAATATAAGGGTATTTGGACTATACCTGTTTCCCCATAAATCCAGCCAACAAAATTATGCTATCCATTTTGTCTGCATTATGTTGAGGAATCATTCAATGCACCTTCACACAGTGTATTTTGGGATCCTGATTCTGCTTTTGGTTGTGCTGATTTTACACTCAGAGGAAAAGAGTGTTACTACCCAGTTACATCTGTGTAAGCAACAGCACTGTTGGGTCCTTCTAAATGCAAACTCTGGCAGTGTGCAGAAACAGAAAAGGTCAGTTTAGGTATCTTCAAGAGTGAAAGGAGAGGATGAGAGAGGAGTAGTAAAATAAATACAGAGAAATTAAAAAAAGTTCCTATTCTAGGAAACTATGTCAGTCTTCCATTTCAGAACTGTGAGATGACAGTGATGAGAAACAGAGAGAGGCTAAGAAGAAATGAAGTGGTGGAAAACAGTATTTTGCATCAGATATATGAGAACCCAGGCAAGCAAAAAGCCTTCAATCCTTTCAATGAAAATTAAAAGCAAGCATACTGAAAATTAAGTGCTTACCTGGGACAACATACTAGACTCCTCTCAAACAGCATAAGCTTCAGTGCTTGCTGTGGTAGGCTCTTTAACCTACACATTCCACAGGGCCCCAAAAGTACAGCTCTCTTTACCTTTAAAACCATGCACCAGGTCCCTTCTATTCAGTTAGCAATGGTGACTGCTTGACCTGCAACTCTTCAACTGATTGGGAATCCCATTTGTCAAGTTACTTTAAAACACTTCTGCTCATTTCAACAGAACCTGGCAGACCAATCTGTATGTGGATAACTCCCTCTGCACAAGTAAATGTCAGTGTGCCTGCAAGAATAGTTACAGTGATATTTGGTCTGCTCCTGGCTAACCATATTTTATTCGTGCAAGAGTATACAGTTTTTTATCAATCGGTTCCCAGGAGGTTCCCTTCTAGAAAGCAGGACAGATGACCCGAGTCATTGCAACAGACAGCAACAAAACAAGGTGTTGGAGGGACTAGGAGTAGGGTTGTACATTGTCAGCACAGTATCATAAAAAATGAATTAGGAAAATCCAAAGTGCTTTAAAATAAATAAATAAATAAATACAAACCTTCAGAGGATGACTGTACTTAAAAATGCAACAGGCTCAACTATTAAAAATGCATGGAAGCAAAATGATTCAAGATCTTTTGATGCTTATGGGGAAACTAACAAAAGCACTGGATTCAGACTGTCTTCCCACTGCTCTGATTATAGGATTATCTTTTCCCTCTTTTTCTTTTTTGAATGTTTCTCCCAGTTACTGCTAGATTTTGATTTGCATGAAAACTAGACCATTGCTCCTTGCTACTAAAGCCAATTTCCCATCTGAAGATAGTCTTCCATAGCTAAGCCCTTAACAGCCAGCTGTCATCAAAAGTTGAAGATGATGACAACAATATCAGATTGTTGTCCAGTATCAGAGGAACTGATATGGATGCTCAGATGACATGCATCAACAAGAATTATGGTGCAAGTGTTTAGATAGAGTTACAGGTGGCTAAGCAGCAAGAGTATATGAACTCTTAGGAAGCAAAAGATCCTATTTTTATGCAAATGTCCTCAGCACTGCTGGGTAGAAACTGGCAATCTCAGCTAGCAGAGATTCAAGACACTTTTTCCTATTACTCACTCTACCTTAAAATAGTGTTAAAACTTTGAAGAGCAAAAGGAATTCAGCAAGAGCTCTCAAGCTTTGAGTCATACAGGACTAATCCCACATACCCCTACGATAGGGCTGAAGAAGGCTGCAGTTCTCAACGCTGTTTCAGCAAAGTATCATAAAAAATGAATTCAGAAAATCCAAAGTGCTTTAAAATAAATAAATAAATACAAACTTCCAGAGGATGACTGTATTTAAAAATGCAACAGGCTGCAATAGGGCTGAAGAAGGCTGCAGTTCTCAATGTTGTGAAGTCATGATAAAGCTCCTACAGTGTATCAGGGCTCACAGCTGGAATAATCACACATCAGCCAATGCTTTGTCTTGTCCCTGATGACAGGCTCCCAGGGACCACTTCCCAAGACCAAGAAACTAATTGCTTCCACTTCCCTACAAAGTAGGATCTCAATCAGCTGGCAGTGACCAGGAGGGAAAGCTGATCTATTATCTGCTTATATGTGTATTTTTTTTTTTTTTTTCTGTTTGCAACCACAGAGAACCTTTTAAATTTTGCAAATATTGTACATGGGGAAAAAACCCAAACAACTGCTGTCTGCTCTCTAACACTAAAAACCTACTGCTAGTCCAAAACTATCACAAAGCTGTTAAGAAACTTCTTTACAATAAGATTCTCTTGCTGCTTCTACATTGGTTCTGCTACTTGAAAGCTCTATATTTGCTTTTGGGGCTGCAACGCACTTCTTTCCACCTTCCTGCTAGCTTGGATGGGGCTCGTGAGCAAGAAGACCACAGCCTCTAGAAAACACATGGACCGTCCTTGCCTTTTCATCCCTTATAGCATTTCCAAAGTGATGTTTAGCTTTCCATAAATCTTTCCACATAAAATCTAACACAGAGGATCTACTGGTTCAGGAGTCTGGTTTCAAGTAAGATGAGCCTCAAAGCATACTTGAGAGCTAAACAGCTCCATTCTTTGGGAAGTGCTTTTTACTTTGAGGCCTACATCAACTTCGACCAGCTCTTTGAAGTAGAACAGAAAAGATTTTGTTTACTCAATCAGTCTAGAATTGGATATGATCTTTCACTATTATTTTTCACAGAGATTTCATAAGCCTTCTTCCCTACTTTTACAGACTGAATGGGATCTTCAGTGACCCAAAGATTCAGCTGGAATTCATTATAGAAACCTAAGAGTGGTAAATGCCAAATAAAATGTTATGATGTAACTCTGATAATATACTCAAAATCTAAGATCTAATTTTTCCTTCCATATCCAAATAAAAATGACTTTGAATAAATATCAGGTTAAGTTGTCACCATTCTGAAATAGAGTGAGAGTTTGAGGTGGGTTTTTTTTAATTTGTTTTTAAAATGTGCATGCCTGTTTTGTAGTGGAGAAGTGCATACAGTACCTGTTGTTATTCTTATGTGGTTCTTTAAAAGTTTTCATAAAGACAACAGGTTACCAGTGAAATATAATATCAGCTCATCAGGTTCCTCAGGTGCTCTTCTGCAAAGCTATGAAATAACAGTTCATCCCCTCCTTGGAGAAACCTAACACAAAATTTTCACATACAATCACATAAGGTCTTCCCTCCTCCCCCCCCAGCTTCATATCCCACCCAGCCCTTCAATTTCAGAAGATTTTTTTTTTTTTAAAGAAAAGGGAAAGAAAAGAAAAGAAAAGAAAAACAGCTTATAAAACAGCAAAGAAAATAAAGTTATTTTAATATATATAGAAAGAGAACAAAATGAAACTTGAGGGAAAACTTACTGGCGTTACAGTTTATCCTGATACAGTCTAGATGGGGAAAAATAAATGAAAGATGAAATTGCATCCTTCAAGGTAACAGCTGCAGACATCCAAAAACAATCAGTCCACCCTTCCGGGGACAGACACACGCAAAGAGATGTGGCCATTTTATACTTATATACAGTCTGTACAAGTTCAGGTGTGGGTGTATATGTACAGTATATTCTACATAAATATCTGTTACATAAATATATATATATACACACGTGTATATATATACACATATGTATAGAGATATACCAATATACATATATATCCACATGTTGACACAGAAAGCTATTTTCTTTTTTTAGAAACCTATGCATCTAAGAGTATCTTCTACTCCAGACCATGAACTGATATGAATTACAATAAAAAAATTGATAATTAAGGCACAAAAAATGTCCCTCAAAATGCAAGTCATACTCCAGTGTCATTTTGTTTTTTAAAGACCTTTAGCAATTTCTTTAAGAAGCTTGAAGCTCAAAGTCAACCTTTACACGTGGTTTCTTTTGAATTAATTTGTATTGTTATTGCATAAATACACCATCTGTCAAACACAGAATACCTGTAAAATCAGCCTGTGAGATTTGTTGGTGCAAAATTTAACCCTTTCCAGCTCTCCCAAAGACAGACCCTCTTCTCATTCCCCCAATGCCAGCCCAGAACACTTTTTAATATGTGCACAGACACATTTGACACTGTCCATTCAGGTGAGGAAAGGGTTAATACACTGCCCAGCAGTGTCCTATCATAAAATGGCCACTTGCAAACAGCTAACCGCACGAACGCCCAGCCCAGATTTCAGCTAGTTCTGGAGGTTGGGAATACTTCTTTTTTGCTTGGCGGGGGAATGGAGATTTCTTTCAAGGGTCCCCAGCCCTGCCAGTTCCTCAGAGCCCAATCTCATCTTGCTATCTGAACGCCAAGACTGAATGGGATGCTCATAACGTTCAGGGAGAAGATGAAATGGGCAGTGACGTGGCAGATATGGGAACCTTTGCTGGCCCTGATTCATTCAGAGGTTACAGGCAAGGGAGGGACAAAGAAGGGTACACGGAGAGAAAAATAGAGTTACATGTGTGGAACCTAATAAATGGTAATTGACGAGTCTGCTTTTGCAAGTTGAGGTAGGAGAGCCTGAGCTAGAGGGCTTCTGAGCATTGCTTCTCTCATTTAACACACTAATGCTCAGCATATCTCAGGATACAACCTGTAAGAGGATCTTTTGTTTATAAATGCCTACTTACAGCCTTGTGAACATCCAATACTATGGTGTCTGACATGGGTGAGAGCTATCATATCACTGCTATTGCGTATCTTGGGCCATGCTGAACTTCTCTCAGGAAATCAGCGCCAGGAATAATAGCAACATGCTACTGGACACCCTGTCTGGACAGCTAAAGCTTTGGCTAGCAGGGACAGTCATATTTATTACAGAGATATGGCCCACCAAGAGGGATTATACAGAATGGCAGAGAAATATAATGCAGTTTGCTGCTTAACTGGACCAATTTTATGTTTACTCAGACAGATGTGGGAAAATTTCAGCAGCTGAAACTAAATGCAGTTCTTAAAAAATGATAGAGGGGAAAGAATAAAAGACTATAAATAAAGACCTGTAATGAGCCGGGACACACCAATCAGGAGCAGCATAGCCAGAGAGAGTCTGTTTTCAAGCAGAACTTCTCTTGAGAAAATCTGGGTTTGGTTTTGTGCGATTAGGTTTGTCATGTGTCGTCAACCGCAACAGAAAAGTGGGAGCAAACAGCCCTGGAGCAAGTGGTACGATCACCATACAGCGGTGGCTATATCCCTTACAGGAGCTGGGTGGGGTAAGGGGAGCTCTGAAGTACATGCTGGGGAACTTCCCTCTACAACCTGATGGAGAGTGAGAGCAAGAGTGAGAGAGACTCCCAAGTCTCACTGCAAGCAAGTGAGATCGAGAGAGTTGTTAGAGCTGGAACAACAGGGGAATTTCTTATGGGCTAAACAGTAAGTGTGCTGGAAAGGGAAACATGGCTGGTCCTCAGCAACGTTCATCAAAGTTAGAAACTAAAACCATCGTTGTGTTATTGATGTCTGCAGAGAAGTTTTGCATTTTTAAATTTTTTGGCAGCAATACAGAAATAACTACACGTCCCAGGGCTTACCCTCAGGCTGAGTCACTGACTGCTTCAGGTGAAGGGATCGATATTTCAAACTGAAAACCTGTGTAGCCCTTATCCTGGCTGCTAGATTTCTATTTCAAAGGACAATGAGAGACCAGGCCACTGAGGGGGTTGCCCTGACAACTACAATGGCACTATTAGATCTCCAGACTTTGCAAGCATGAAGGCTCTGCAATACCATATGCCAGGCAGAAACGCCCAAGCACACTCCAGAAGAACCAGCTCCTGAACCAGACTTAGTCCAGCTGGGTCAGTGGGGATCCCGCATGGCAGCTAAGTGAGTGCATCTGCCTGCGCTGCTACACCAGCACCATCATACTCTCCACACTACCTTCAAAGAACAAGCACAGGTTTTTTGTTCTTTTCCTTAATTCTGAGCCTTGCCCAAAGCAACCAAAACAAATTTCCAATCATTAATACATGAAGCTGTTTTCTCCCTCTTACATCAGTTTTTAGAAAGGAAGAAAATACCTATTTTCCTCTAAACTAGTACAACACCACAAATCCAAAACAGTAAGGTGCACGTTTAGCCTGGTCTTTGCACTCAAAAAAGCAGTAGCTGGGGAATTCAGGAATAATTTAAAAAGCTGCTTGGGATTCCTCTTGCACAGCACCAGGGCAGTAAGACTTCTGGTAATCGTCATCTGGGGCTCTCAGCCCTGTTACCGGCTTCTACTGATGAGATTTGCTTTATTTAGGTATGGCTGCATTCCTGACTCAAAAGAGGTTTTCCCTTGCTTTAGGTTTTGAAGATGAGTATGCCCGAACAGCTGTAAATCGAGTCACCTGCCAGTTCAGCAGCTGGATAAGGAATCTGGAGGACAGCAGTAAAGTGAAAACACAGTCTGTAACTGCATGGGGAGCAGGATGAGCTGGGAAAACCTTCTACAGCTACTTTCTTTCATTATTATTCCTAATGTAAACCAGAATCTGCTTTCTTAGTGCTCAGATAGAAGGTTTTCCAGAGCACATCACCTGGCAAATGGGACAAAGACCCTCTCCTTGCAAAAGGTTAAATAGCTCCACTGCATTTAGCTAACACTAGAGATTCATTGTTTGAATGGAAATATCTTTAGTAGCAGACAGAAGTCTCTACAAATTAGGCCTGTGTTTCTTACCATTTGTACATTTGTGCCTGAAAATAGTGATATTTACTTGACATTGCTAAGGCCCCAGGCTGTTTTTCCCTTGAATCAGAAAAGAAAGTCACCTTCGCTGTGTGAGGACAAAGTGTTCCTTTTGATGAGCATCCACATGTGGCTATGGAAGAGCACTTTAAGGCAGAACTAGGACAAGAAAGATAATAGGGGCCTGACAATTTCTAAGCTCACTGCGGGGAAACCAGATGAGGTCCTGTGCACACTCCTACCCCAAGTTATAGTGTAGCTCCTTGCCTCTCTCCTACTTGCATGCAGTCGGTCTGTGCACCCACCTGTAACTGGCAGCTGACAAAAATTTTTGCAGGTCTGTGGCAAAAAAAACAACAACAACAAAAAAAAAACATCAAGGGGCTTTGTATGTACTGATTATAGAAAAGAAATTTATTAATGAGAAATACTGTGAATGGGCATACACTTGCAGGTCTGAGTGTATGATCTGCACAAAAGGAAATTTGGCATAGAAGTTCACGTATGTTTAAAAAAGAAAAATAGAAAATGTGCCTGCTCTGTTTGTTTGTGGGAATGACAAGAGAAACTTTACATTTTGGAGAGGCAAAGATGTCTCTGACACTCTTGAGGCGGTATCCTAGGAAAAGATAGGTGAGAGGGATGATTATACTTCTTTACAAGAGAACTGACTCAGATTAACAGGAGGAAGGAAGTATTTATTCTAGTCACCAGTGACCTGAAGATAAGCCAGTCCAGGAAGAAAAAAACCCTGGAATATTCTTTAATAAAAGTCAGTGACACTATAACCCTCCCACGCATCAATGGGAGGAAAAGTGTGAGGGTGGATCTCCCTATCAGACCAGCCATTTCTTTCCCTTTCTGTACATCTTCTCAGCACCAGAAATTATTCCCAAGCATGTTCCAAGTCATGATTTGCTTAGTTTCAATCTCTCTCCCCTTCCACTCTAGACCCATTTCTTCAGAGTCCTTCTCAACAGAAGTGAGATCTGTATCACATTTGGACTTCCAATCTTCACACAACAAACACTCAAACTACTGTGAGACATGCTGTCAACATGCAGATTGCAGTGCCTCGGGCACCCACACGGGAAAAGTCTGAAACAACTTCCTTGCCCCTCTTTCTTAGAGAATTATTCATCACTGCTCCTCCTTTCCCTCCCACCTTCTGCAGCAAGCACCCAGCCGCCCATGCCCACCCATGTCTGCTGTACGATGTAGCTATCCCCTGTTTGGTTTGGACACTGAGTGCTGAGGAGGTGAGTGGGATATGCCAGCCCCTGCAGGCTGCTCTGTACGCTCTGTTCTCAGGGCTGTTTGCTGTGCGGGCCGCAGGCTTCAGGCCTTTGAAGGGTTGAATACCATCTTTTGATTTACCATGGCTGATGGGGTATGGGAAAGCTTTACAACTGAAATACACAGAAGAGTTAAGGAAAAAAAAAAAAAAAAAGAAAAAAAGAAAATAAAAAACAATATAGGAAAGACCTTAATAACCACACAAATGATAATAAGTAATTAAATGGAATAGATCAAAGAGAGAAGGGACAGCTCTTAGTAATAGTATTAAATGACTTATAAGAAAATCACAATTAAATAACTTACCACTCAAAACAGTCTTTGTTTATACGCATCTGTCATAGGTTAGGCACTCGGGGGTGTGCTGACTCATAGCTAGTCAGCACTGAGCATACTCAGGTCTTCAGAGGTGGTGCTGATGACTGTTTCTCACTGGTAAGGGGATTTTGGCAGGGTCAGATAATGAAGATTTGGTTCTTGTTTGTGACATTTTGGCTATGAAAGTCTCCTTAAAGAGTTAGATATGACTTACAGTAAACAACTGAAAATGAATGGCTCTGGTAAAGTCATTCCTCCTCAAATTCTGCTTCTTCAACAGCAAGGTAAGTTTGCCATTTTGATAGAAGGAAAGTCCTGCTTCAAGGAATATATCTGACAGCTTTATAAATCTGAACAGAAGAGAGGTGAAGCTCAATCTAGGTTCCAACAGTCTAAACTACCCTTCTCTTTAGCTGGGCATAGAGGAAGAGTGCTGACAGGTTTCCACTGATGCAGCCTGTAGTCACTTTTGGGGGAAGACTCACCCTCACAAAAGTTTCTAGCTAAAAAGCTGGCAAATCTGGCATACGCATTGCTTCAGTCCCTGCAACTACACAAAAATAGCCTTCAGTTAACACAGTGTTTGGTTTATAGATTTTGTCCCTGTATTAAGCCATCAATGACATATCTCTTTCTAAACATGTGTGGACCATATGTCAATTCTTTTGACATAGCCATGTCTTTTAGATGCCAGATAGTAAGAGTTGAACAGTCCACCTCTAGGCTAGGTGATGGCACAACAGACCCCAGTGAGTGTTAAAAGTGACCAATGCCAGTATTGGGAAAATATTGTCTGCCAGCATGATATAAGGAAAACTGGAAAGGAAAGACTATGCTGTAAAAAATTCTAAGTATATTCAGGGTAATCTAAATATAGCCTCCTTGTATTCACATAGGGTCTAAGTCTAGGAGGCCTTGAACACCCAAAAGGAGCAACTCCCCCTATTCTCATTGATTTTAAAGGAAGATGAAGATATAACAAAATCAAACAAGTAGTACCTTTCTCAGAAGAAAAAGTGATAATTTTTTATGAAGTCTGACAGTTTTCATGCTGTAGTACTTTTCATGTGGGAGTATCAAAGGCGACAGAAGCAGCACTTACTAAAATACTACCACATCTCTGGCAGGTTGCAAAGTATTCTCTCTTCAACAAAGAGAGGAACTAAGGCATGCAAGGTAAAAGAACTGGCTCTGGGTTACAAGGTGGTAGTGAAGAGCTAAGCAGATACTCAGCTGCCCCATCACTTCGCCAACAGAAGCATGCCACTGCCAATCTTCCAGTGATTAAGTTATCCTCTAAGAAAAAAATGGCTAGCAATAATTGCCAAGAAAGGAAACAGTGGGGGAAAAAAAAAAAATCTCATTTTGCCAGATTATTAGCACCAACTGTATTAGATCAGAAGAAAATGCAGACACACACATACATATATATATACGCACTGGAGTTTTGTGAAAGATTCTCTTTGCACATGTAAGAATGGTCAACAGCAATTCTTTTGAGCTGTTCTCCAGAGAAACTCTGCAAATCTTTGAAATTTTCCTTCACTGTAAGTCAATATAGGTAGAGATGGCTATCATCAGAGTGCTGTTTCTCTTTATTTGAGAAATTACTGTCATAGCTGAAGTTGATCTATTCCCTCTGTCCTCTAGGCCAGTCTGGACAGCACAGCAACTGCTCCTATGCTAGCCAGACACTCAATAGTGTTTTACACTTCTTCAGTCAAGCTAAGCAGAGCATATACGTATTCCAAACAGGAACTCTATAAGACTGCATTTTCTTTTTTTCTTTTTTTTTCTTTAATAAAAAGCAAGGGTTTCTATAGCCCTTTAGATGGAGACTCTTTGCTTTTAAGAGATATGAACTTGTTTAAATCTATCTTCTTCTCTTCACTTTCCTATTCCAAAAGCTGATATTAGGGTCTGACTTGCACTTTCAAAGCCAAAAAGACACTAGAAGCAATTTAAAAAAAAACGAGCTAGTTCCAAAAGACAACTGCTGTACAACATATTGCCCAGGTGAGGATGAGGAACCCTAAAATCACCACTCAAGCTCACCTGTGGTGGAGCAAGACCTTGATAAACTTACCATATCTAGCTAGGACAGGAGTTAAAAACCAAGAACCATTATACAGGTATGGGTGTATTATACTTTTTTTGCCCTCTACAGACATGGTTTGCTCCTGATATCACCAGAGTAGGGCTTTGAAGATGCTGATGCTGTTAGCACAAAAAATGCGAAACCTTGTCCCAGTGGGGCTTAGAATTTTGAAAGCTGACAAAAGCTTTCACAGACCATGCACACATCTTCACATAGAGTACCCTACATATTAAAAGAGGTTTAACATTTCGCACTATCATGATAGTTCTGCCTCTTTGACTCAGAATCTCTTCTTAGTTATATTTCTGGATTCAAATGAAGCAACAAGTTGCATCACTGAAAAGTGAAAGAAAGCTTCAACTCATTTATTTACATTCTTTAAAAAGGCTATTTGTCATTCACTACAATACTTAAAGACTGGCAAGAAAATGGATTGAGGCTAATCTAATAGCACATTCATTCTCAAATTTTTTTTATTGTTGTTATTGTTGGACTTGTTTCTAATTGTCTTTTTTATTATTTTCTGGGAAAATGTAACTCTAAGGAGACAGAACACAACCCTTTGGGATGGGGGGATGCACTTTTATTATTGTTGCCTTCATTTTAATAAAGACACAATAAAAAAAAATCAGGCTTTTTTACTAGATATAAAAAGCCCTGAAGGCTGAAACAGATAGCAATTGGAAAAATAGAAATAATTAGCAAATTAGTAAAACAGACCAAGTTGTATCAAACGCTGCCAAATTCTGCAAAGGGCATGGGATTCACAGGACTTCTGCTTGCCACTATATCCATTTTGCTTCCCTCCCATGTTTGCCTTTGACTGTTTTGAGTGATGCTGGATGAATGAGGGATGTAACTGATCAAAAGATGGACCAAGCAGCATGTCTCACACAGAGCTCACCAGTCCCAGATCAAGAAAGGAAACTTAAAAACTTAAAGACTTAAAAACCAACACTGTCCATAACAAAGAACTGACAGCAAATCTTCATGCAGCAATGCAGAAGAGAATTTCTCTCTGCAAGAGAATATCATTACGAAGGTCTTGGCAGTTATTTTAGAAATCAATCCAATCCAGTCAAACCAACAGAAATTAAACAAAATTATTAAAAAAAACCACTAATCACAAGCCCAAACTAATAGTGAAGGGGCAGTGGAAGGTTTTTATACGATACCTAAATTGACCATAAGTTTGACACGGCCTCCATCCAGCTCCAGCCGCAGAGTGTCAGCAGAGTCTCGTGAGGTGGTTGCCATCAACAGCCCATAAGCACGCTGGGACATGAAACGGAAGGACACGTCTTCTGCTTCTGTATGCATGACCATAGGCATGATGATCTTCATGTACATGCTGCCATCATAGCTCAAGATAGAGGCCTCTGTAAGGAATCAGCAAACAGTGGCAAAAAAAAAGAAGTTACGCTTCTGTGCGATCTTCATTCCTGAAGAACCCTAACATCTATCACAGAGCACTGTGTTTCCAGAAACCATACCACTCACCACAGAAAGATATGTAACTGGGGAAAAACACAGCAACTGTTTAACTGCATCCAGCAACCCTATGTGGCAAGTATGGGCAGTAAACATAAAGATATGGTAATCACCACAACTGGAGGCAGCAGCACCCATGGAGACACAATCCCCAAGGACAAGTGTGTTAGCACAGGGCCATCTTGTGATAATGAACTGGCAAAGCCTCCATTTTTCACATCTTCCAGAAAATGCAATCTCTTCCCTTAGCCCAGCCTTCCCTAGCACTAGCTGTAATGACTACTTTAAATAATGTCTACAACACTTCTACCAGAGCATTTAGTCTTGCCTTTGAAGGCTCAAAGTTCCTATTTCTGGTACTCTTAAGAGCCGTTGCTTATTTAGAGAGGAATTTCAGTCCATTGCTAGCACTTCAAAGAAAAACAACAACTGTATGAAGCAAGTTTCCTAACAGGTCTTTTCTCCATCAGATTTGTGCTGGTTTGTGATTTTATATTTTTCCCCTCCTTACTAACCACTAATGTTAGTAGAGCTCTGCTGACACAACCAATGCCACTGCAATGCAAATGAAGAATGAAACAAACCAAACTCCATTCCAAGTTAAAGTGTCATTCAAACACAGGAAAAGTCAGGAGATGGAGGCACAATGACAGCCAGGAGCAGGAAAAGGAAAAAACAGTAAGGAGAGAAATTCTATTTTTCTATCATCTCTGAGGATGTCAAAGAAAATGGGAAGTTCGGCTGAGGAAAGGAGTTGTAGTCCTTAACATTCTCTATTTGTTCAGGGTCTTGCCTCCAGAAACTGATACTCTTCTCTAAGGGGTTAGCATTAAAGTCTTGTGATAGAACTGCAGCACCCACTATAGCATGGCAATCATTGTTTCAGTCCGGCAATATGCTCCAAAGCATTTTTATCCACAAAATTTACAAATCTACATAAATATATTAATGTATGAATCAGAGCGTCTCTTCTCCCCACAGCCAACCCCTACCAAAGGCAGAGCTGTAGAGATTGCTCCATGTAGGACTTCTACCAGAAAGCTACATATAAGAATCCCAGAGGCTGAAAAAAAAGACCAGTTCAGCCCCCTAGGCACATGGAAGGATTGCTCCATAAAGCATTCTTACCAGTGCCTCATCCAGTTTAGCTAGTTTTCTCAAATGGTTGGGATTCTCACCAGGCACCCCAGACACAGCCCAGAAAGCTAGCACCCCATCTAATATAACCAACTGCAACAACATGTATTTGGAATCTAGATGTTCTCCTTATGTTTCACCCCTTTGTCCCATATTTTCCAGCCAGGCCACTGATGCTGACAGGAGCGGAACTTCTAGAGAGAAACAGCAAGCTTGGCAGAGCCAATCCTTACATCCTTTCAATGCCTAAATGTTAGATGCTAGAGTAGGGTAGATGGACGGGAAACAGGAACAGCCATATGTCCATACTGGAAAGGTCCCATGGCTGGCTCCACGATGGCCAGTAACAGAACTGCAGTGTGTAATAAATGGTCAGAGGTGATAAACAAGGATATAAGTATCAAGCTGATACAGTGACAGAGGAGACATGTATATGGTTACAAAACGTTTGGTGGGGATCACTGTGGTTGTGCTGGTGCAGCGACCTACTGCACTAACAGCTGGTATGCAGCACCTCTCTGGTCATGGGACATATAAGCCCATTAAGAAGAAAACATTTCTGGGAGCACCATCAAAATAAGATGGCTGTGAACAGCATCATCCTTATTCACCCGTCTTCTTAGCTGCACTCCGCACATACTGTCATGGTCTGTACACACAAAGCTCTCTACATGCAACACCCACTCAGCCATACATACACCTTCTGGGTACCGGCTGTCAGTGCTGCCCTAGGGACTCACATCTTCGCTTGGCCAAGAAGCAGAGAAAGAAAGCAAGCTGCTTTTTCAAGGTGGGGGAATGGTTTCTTCTATTCAAAGCGCAATTCTCTTCCCCCTCACGTCTGCACCTCTTACTTGCCACCCACAGCTGCAAGCTAGAACTAAATGTACTGTATATTATACATACACTCAAAGGCAATGCGTATGTACACACAAACCCTCCTTGCTCTCTTTCCTCTCTCTCTCTGCGAATTGTATTAGAAAATGCAGTGAAGCATGAAATGGCTCTTTTGACGCCTTCAGCTCAGATGTGCCTTGCATGAAACAGTTGCTTGCCGTAGCGCCTGAAGAGCTGCAAGAAGGGGGCTGGAGGATATCAGGACTACGAGTGAGAGTAGCTGACACAAGTGCCCCAGCTTGCTGCTTCATTCTTCACAGCGCCATGCGTTAGGTGCTTTAGAAACATGAGCTTTCTGCAGACACCAGAAGACAACAAACCAAAAGTGTGGTAATAATGAGTCTCTTCCCTTCAAAAAGAATTCCTGTCCTTTAGCTCCACTGATCCAATTGCCAGAAAGTTACTGTCCTTAGAAAGAAATCCCAACCATTATTCCACTTACGTAAGACAGACCTGAAGAACACCCAGAATTGCTGAAGATGGCACAAAAGTCTAGAGACTGTTTCAACTGACATCCCACAGTAGCCTAAATCAGGTATTACTGTCCCTTCTCTGGCCAGTCTGCTACAAACAGGGAGCAATGAATCCTTGTTACAAATAAGCAAATAAAATTAAATAGCCTGAAATAGCTGAAAGCCTCCACACAACCATAGGAGATGATGAGTTTCTGTTCTTGTGGGTGCCCTGTGCTGTCCTCAGCCTGGCCTAGCTTAGACCACCTATGCACTTGACATCTTTTAAAAATAAAGAGATTTCATTCTCACCTTGCAAGTCTTCACTATCTGGAGTATCTGGGAGCTTTTTCAGCACATCTCCTCGCAAGCAGACCATTCCCTGCAGCTACAAGAATACCCCTTCAGAGGAGGGTATTGCCTAGTAGCAGTCATACAAATAAAACCTATCTCCTTGTCCTGACAGTCCCCAAAACTCGAGGAAAGCATGTTACAGCTGAGCAACACATACAGCAAATCTGCTCAGGGTTGAATGTAACCTGGCAGCAACTAGGTGACCTCAGCCTCCTAGGCACATGCGCTGGCAACTTCTGCCTGAATACAGGCAGCCATTTGATTGCCCTCGGCCATCTGCAGCAATGGGACTGTAATGCTTTTGTTCAGCACCATAAATACAGGCATCAGCACAGTTATCCAAGTTGAAAATGCATGCACATTCCTTCCACCCTTCTACTTTTAGGGTAGCTATTATACTTGGATGTCTCACAGACACATGCATAGGAGCAGTGGGTGAAACCATGTTTGTTTCAGAGACCCACAGATTTGTACAGACAAAAAGATCCAGAGTGGCATTTATTTGTGATCCCAAAGCCAGAAGCTTCATTGCAGTTAGCTTGGAGATGGGAAGAGGAAGAAACCGGGTGCTGATTCAAAACCACCCTGACATACTGCCAGAGATCTGTGAAAATCAATATGTTATTAGGAGCGATTAGGTTCCCAGTCTTGTGCTCTGAGACCCTGCCAGCTTTAATTTTACACTTAGCATCCAAAGGAGCAATTCACTGCTGCTTCCCCAGAAGGCTCTGCACAAACCTCCTGGGGAGATGGCAACAGGCATATTCTTAGAATACAGACAGAAAAATATTCAAGACCTCTTCATGCTCCTTCTCCTGCTTTCTAACCTTTCTCTTGTATTAATCTCCATTCTTTGCCTCTTTCCTTTCTTCTCCTTTTTAGTTTTTTCTGTAGTCTCCTGTTCTTCCCTGTGGTCTCTTTCCCCTGCCTCCCAGACTACAATATAACTTTTTTCCTGAATTTTCCAGGAAGATGACAGTGCAAAAACAAGGAAAAAATATACTCCCTTTGCAAAAAGTTTAGCTGAAGTCACCAATGACAGCAGTTCGGGGCACACAACATATTCCCCCAGCTACATTTGCAAGAGTCAGCTATCGCCACCCGCTCCCACCAAACAGAGCTTCCAGAAACAAGCGTCACCAACTGGAGAGGCACGAGACGCCTGGCAAGGAGCAACTGTGGAAAACAGGTTTGCTGGTTCAAAACTACGGGGAAATAGACACCAAACGTTTCCACCTTCTCACAAAAATTCAAATATCCTTAAAGAAAAAGTGCCAAAGCTTTGTATCCACAAACCAGACAAAACTTTCCTGTAGGCCTTACACAGCACACCTCTTTCCCTCCCATATCCACTAGCAGACACACGGCCACAAATAAAAACAGCCTTGATTTTCTAAAAAAGAAAATTACACTTAAAACAAAAAACCCAAACAAACAAACAAACAAATCAGAACTGAAAAAAAGGCCTAAAAAAAAGAAAAAGGAATCCTCATTCTTGTCCAAGTGGATTCCATACAGATGAATTTCAACAATGTGACAGAAGTCTGTCACATAATTTGGGGAGCCTGAATGTAATCACTCAGACTGAAATCTGACTAGTACCCAGGAGATAATGCTCCTTTTTTGGTGGAAAAAATGTCATGGGAACAGAACATGAAACGTCAAGTGCTCCCAAGAGCTTACGACCTTGCACATCATCCAGCAAGATGGGAGCCAGGAGCTGTGGGGCTCCCAGGGCCGGGCCTTGCTGCCCCGGGGCTGTCCCACACACCCAAGGAGGCCATGACAGACCTTCAGATGGTGGCCGGGTCCAACCAACAGCCCAGGAAACATCATGGAGATGACGCAGGCCAGGGGTCAGGCCGGGAAGTCAATCCGCAAGCCAGGGCTAAGATCAGGTGCCACGACTGCCAGGCAGGGTCACGGTGACAGGGATGGGACATGGGCCTGGCTCAGCAGGGCCCATGGCCAGGCAGGGCTGTGGCATCGCTGGGGCAGGGGCTGATGGCCCCAGGGGGCTGACGTGGGCTCCTGGGCTGTGGGCAGGC